CCCCCAAAAAAAAAAAAAAAAAAAAAAAGCCTCTAATGCCAAACTAACATCATCTTCTACAAACAAGTAAAGGTACCAACTTTCACAACAAGAAATATTTATACTACAAAAGTAATGTTGGCTTCCACCAAAAATAAAGGTACAGCTCAGAATGGCATGCAGAGTGTAACTCAGTAACGAATGGCATTTTAACAATAAACTTATTAATCGGAATTATAACAAAAATATACCAAGCAACTAACGGAAAACTTTGAGACCAAGAGAAGAAAAACTCTGTTTTCGAATTTTATTAACAATATAGGACTACCTCAATTCCCAGAAGTTCCGGATAAGTATGTCAAGAAAAACTATAATCAAAATGAACTTTATCAATCTCGGTTTTCCTAACTAGTTTCAGATGAAAAAACTGTAGTCCCGGTAGTATTTTTTTCCCTTTATTTTCAACATTTCTCACCTACAAAATGGTAAAGAAAATTGAAAAACAACATACCAATCAGATGCCGTAATCAAGACACCAGTCCAAAGGGGGATCACACCACGGCTCAAAATTTTAATAGCAATGGCACTGCCAATAACCTCCTGAATATCCGCCCCAATCAAAGCCAGCTCCGCCATGAACCAAAGCAAAAGCCGGGCCCAATCAGGGTACTCCTCCCGGCACAACTCCGACAAGTGCCGGCCGGTTACCACACCCACCCTCACGAACAGAAGCTGGATCAACAAACCCATAACCGTTGCCCACATCAATAACCAGAGTAACGAATAGCCGGCAATTGCTCCCGCCTGCAGATCCCCCTCCAAATTACCAGGATCCAAGAACGCAATACTCATCAAAAACCCGGGACCCGTAAATAACCACAATTTCTTAAACGAAAATGGTGGCACACTGCTAAAATCTGTGGAGCTGGTGGAATCCAATTTGAAATCAAGAATCAAAATCTTTTCCTGGGATTCATACGCAGATTCTTCTACATCTTCTTGTTCGATTTTTTCACTATTGTCAGTTGACCGGAGTTTTGAGGGTAATAGACGGTGAGATTCATCTACTTGTTCTGGTTCTTGTACTTCTAGTACTTTGACTTTGGAGGAATTGGAGGGTGTATGGTCTTGTTCTTCAGGTGGGTTCATTATATAATTCGAATCGCCATTCCCTTTTCCCATGGGATGGGGTTTAGGTTGGGGAAGGGAGGTACGCGGCGGATGGTCGTTTGTGAGGGTGAAAGGTGTGACAATAGGCCAAGCCGACGGTGGAGAATCGGGCTTCTGGCGGGATGCGGGAATTTATAGATCAGTTATACGGGAGAATGTATGGCCTGCACGCGGTAGTTAGTTACATTGATGCAATTGCCAATAGTTTGTGGCCATGTACGGATTCCTGAGTGTTAAGCATGCTTGGTTAAGCTCTTTTAATTAATTACTTTTTTTTTTTTTTGTCTAATTTTTATTGGTAGGCTTCATTTTCCCTTTTGTCAGTCCAAAATTATAGTTCACTTCCCTCATTGAAAGCATATACTTCTTCTGTTCCATTTATATATATTTTGTTTTTCACACGATTTAAGAAATCTCATTTAATGTTATTGAAAAAATAATTTTTCAAGAAATTTCTTAATCTACCCCTATTTAATTTTCAACAGCTAGTAATAAATTATTGTTAGAATTAGTAAAAAAATTGAAATTTGATTTCAAGAAGTAGGCAAATTATCGGGAAATGTGCATGAATTTGGATGATTTCAAAAAATAGGCAAATTAAGTAGGAAAATTTAATTGTAACTAGTCAAATTAAATAAGGGTATAATAGTAAAAGAACAAAACAAAATATTCTAAATTAAGAAAATAGGAATACATATTTGGAACAAGAAAAAAAGGAAACTAAGTCTATATATTTGTGATAGATGGGGTAATTTTTTTAGTTTTCGAGGGAGTTTTTTTTTTAAGTTTTCTAGTTACATTGTTGCAATTGCTAATAGTTTGTGGCCATGTAAGGATTCCTGAGTGTTAAGCATGCTTGGTTAAGCTCTTTTATTTATTTATTTTTGTCTAATATT